GACTAATAATTGACGGCTGTACTCGCAACTAGTATCGGTTTGTCGATGCCACAGTAAAGATCAAAGGACTGTACGCACGCGCTATGTTCGAGAGCGGAGATGTGCGTCCTTTTGTTGAATTACCTTGCTGTACCCTGAATTTGTCACGCGCGCCTTCTCCTGGTGACGATAGCGATAGTATTTAAGGCCTATTTATCATGCTTTGATTCACCACGTAAATAATAATATTCCGGCCCCGAAACCTAGACTTATGTCCAGTGGGTGATAGTTTACTTGGGTCATTCCATGTCAATTAATGGGTTTAACCCGACCGTCTCCGATTTCGATTAAAATTGGTATACATGGGTTTGGAATCACACTTTCAAATTATAGCAAAATCGGATCAATATTTTAAAAGATACGGAACCTTAATATCTCAGCAGTGGGTTGACCGATATTTATGTAACTGGTATTTCTAAAAAGAGAATGAACTAAAGAATCTAAATCTGTCATTATTTTGAAAAATTGACCGTATCTAATGCCAATGACTTTTTGACCTCGAATTTGACCTTGTGGATCGCGCCACCGTGATTTAATTCATGTACATAGTGGCCCCGGGTGTTAGCTACAACTTATAAAAAAATTGGAGATAATATATTTAATATATTTTCTTATAAGCAAGTAATGTATATTCAAAGTTGCCGTCAATCAAAACCACAAAAATTACTTTTTGCGGGTACGTTTAAGTTGAAACGGTGTTGCAATGAACAGGAGCTGTAGGGGTGAAGTATGAAGCAAACAAGTTATTATAGGGTCTCGCTATAGTGGTAGAATCAGAACAGACCTGACCATCGATTTCAAAGGCTGAACATTGTGTTGTTTGTTTTTTTGATCTAACATAAGACTAAAACTGTTACATGTTACCCTGTTTATTAATGAGTTCATTTAAGTACATATTGCGGGAATAGATAGTTTGACGCATGCCAACAGAAAGAGACCAGTGATTAACATCAGCCCGAAACCGGTTATTTGAGTCTTCTACGTTGCCGGACCAGTTTATGTTGAAGTCACCCATTAGGATAACACCTTTGTACTGATCAATAGGTGGTTGAGCAGGACATCTTTGAGTAGTAAAGCGAAATTGTTGTCAGTTGGCGGTCTGTCCGCATAACCATCGGTCTTTACTGTTAATTTGAAATTGTGCCCATACGCACTCAATACCATTCATCTACGTGGCATTTTACTGAAGGATTAAGATCAGATTTCTCTGCAAGTAGAACGCCTCCACCACGTGAGGATCTGTCTTTTCGAAGAATGGCATATTTATTAGTCCAATACATCACTGCTCAACCAGGTTTCAGTTATTCCGATAACACTATCATCATATTTTTTTTAGTGAAGGCATCAAAATATGTGAGCTTGTTTACTTCTGGCATTAAAGCATACAACGTTTAACCCAGATGTGTTTCTTTGCAATGAGTTCAGAGATACAAGTTTTTTATTGCTTAGAAATGAGATATCGGTGGATAATTATTTCGAGTACTCAAATAATGACTCATTTAACTGGGGTACGGCACACTTGGAACAAGCACTACAATTTGCGGGTATATATCGAATGCAATTGTTTTGGTGATCTGGATCTGTAACAGTGGATGGCCTCGGATGAGAATGGACAAGCAATATCAACTTTGAATGAAGCTGAGGAGTTAGAACAATATGCAATCCTACCCTTGGAAAACTTTCGAACATGGCTAAAGTACAAATGGTTTCTAAATTTTAATTTAGAGGGAGGAAAAGAATTACCTAACTTAGTGGTTAAATTGGGAAACCAAAACAAAAATAACAGTAACAAAATGCATGGAAGAGATTAGGCAACCCATTAAAAAAAGTCCCAACAATAAATAAATAAAAATGAAGCAAAGGACACAATCACAAAGTGGCTAATGTCAGAATACGTAGGCTGTTCCAGGCAGAAATATTTAACCAAAAAAAACCAAAAAAAAAAACCAGCCAAACAGAGAACCTACTGTAAATAAAACAGCTTAAAAGGCCATTTTCCACTAGACGAATTTATTCGCGCGAATCGAAAATATTTACCTATATGCATGCGCAGTTTCATTTTCATCACGGGATTCTCAATTGCACATGCGTAAGGGTAAAACGCGTCATTAAGAACACATTTTAAGTACGCCCGAGGAAACGTCGGCACCTTTGTACCTACCGGGAACCCTGCGCTGCTACAAGCGCTACCCACTTATCTGTAACTACAACAGCAGAGCATAAATATTTAGGTGTAATCATCGATAATGAACTAAACTGGTTATTATAATTTTGAAAAAAATTAGGGGGGAGGAGGGGCTTGGCTGACTGCTGGGCCCGCCTCGTACCTTGAACTGCAATCTGTATGGTGAACGGGGTACCGAAAAGAGGTACCGAATTAATTGTACTGCGTTTTTTTTCCGCTTGGGGGTTAGACAAAGTCTACTATCATACCTATACCTTGCAAAGACGTGTCTTATCCGTATCTATTATAACAGCTAATATAGCAGTGATCATTGGCCGGCACGCTCGCCCGTGATTTTATTAGTATTTTAGTCCATATAGTCCGTATAATGGAAGTACGTGAACCTAATAACCTGGAAAAAGCACTTCATATCTGAGAAGAAAGAAACTGCATCAGTACGCTCCCAAATACAAATGGGAATCGAATCAAGGACCAACATTCTTATTGAATCCCCTGACAAAACACCATTAAGTACCCGCTGATATTTGGGGATTGAATTCAACGCTAGCCACTAAGGGCAAGCTTGATGGTATAGTGGGACACCAGGCTAGTCATCGGAGGTCGTGCACTGTAAAAAAATGTCTGTAATTTTACTTTTACCGTAATCTAATTTACTGTAAGAATAATGATCACTACCGTGTTATTGTATTTTAACGGTAATTTTTATATAGCAATATACGATAGATTGGTGTTTTGTTGTAAATTCCCAGTATCATATCGTTTTTCACATGTTAAAAAGGTGTCAGTGTATTTCTACGGAATTTTTATGTAAATGTACGGTGAACTCGCTAATTTAATCTGATTGGCGGTTAAACTACGTCGTCATATTACAGTTTTCCGTAATTTAACAGGTCGAAATCAACATTATGTTAATTAAAGTTGGAGCTCGAAATGTTCAGTTATGAACTAGCGTAATTTTACAGTACAAAATATTTTTTTAACAAGCACTACGAATTTTAACGGTATATTTTGTATAACAACTATGAGACTGTGAATTTAAACGCTTCGATGTTAAATAACGGTTCATCCTTAGCGGGTAAAATTAACATTTTTCCGTAATTTTACGTTCGCCGTTGTAATTTTATTATAAGTAAAAATGTCTGTAGTTTTACGTTTGCTGAAATCCAATTTACTGTAAAACTAATGGTCTGCCGTGTTTGTATTTTAACGGTATTTTGTATATTAATAATACGATAGATTGGTGATTTGTTGTAAATTACCGGTATCATATCGTTTTTATACAGGTTAAAATCTCCATGTATTTTAAAGTCAGAGCTCGAAATTTAAACTACGTATATATTGTTGTAAATTTACCTTAACTGTTAGGTGTTGTACCGTAGTAATAAAGTGTTGTGTTTTTCAAAGGAAATGCTATGTAAATAGACGGTGAATTCGTATGTTTGGTGGTTAAATTACGTCGTCATATTACTGTTTTCCGTACTTTAACAGGTCAAAATCAACAACATTAAGTAAATTAACGGCGGAGCTCGTAATGTTCAGTTATGAATTGGTGTAATTGGTTACTGTATCTTAACTTATTTGTGGGAACGGCCTAATTTCACAGGTCAACATCCTCGTAAATTTACATTGTCATTGTGTATCCGTACACAAGTGAAATGTAACAGCAGTCGATACAATCGGGTGCAAGTAGCTCATACTAGGAGGTGTAAAATATCGGTGCTCGTAATTTCAGAAATAAAACTACACTTTTAAAATTAAGAACAAAATAAGAACAAATTGAGGCGTTGGTAAAATGTCAAATGATATTTAAAAAAATAGAAAAACCAAAAAATCATATCTGTACCTTATGTGCAAAAGGTGTGACTATGTAATACCCTCTATAATACAGTAGGTTCGATTCCCACCAGAATCACTTAAGAAATTTTTTTCGTTTCGCAAGCGTTTTGGAACGTACCGGTATTGAGCATTAAGTAAGATACCACATCAAGTAGGGCAAACCATTATTCCTACTGAGTCTTTAACGAAAAAATGCAATTTGTAATGTTATTGTAATAATTAAATCTGATGATTTAACGTTTATTTGTAGCATATTGGGTTTCATTGCATTTGTTTAATGATGAATTATTATGAAATATTATAACATGATCTGACTGGTTTCTCTATTGTTTATGGAAGTGGAACATAATGCTTATAACCCAAGTTTTAGAAATGTCACAACAGTATTATTTCTTGATTAAATTTAAAAAAAAACGATCCAATGTTAAATAAAGTTATAAGAACTGACCTTAGGTGATTAGACTGGTTGCGGTCCACAGTAAACTATTACATGAGCTAACAAAATGTTGGTTACTCCGCCATCTTCTCCTATAGGCCCTATTCATCTTTTCCCCAAGTACATATTCATAACCTGTTAAAAAAAAAACAAAAAAAAAAAAACACACACGCACAAGAGCCTTACTGTTCCTAAAATTCTAGCATACAATCCATTCCTAAGTTTCTACCAATTCTAACCGAAGATGCAATATCTTGGCTCCTACTCACTTTTTTTGTTACGTCATTTCCACAGGTAAAAATAGAAATTGAACATCCTCCAGTCGTTCGGCAATGTAAAGGATCAAGGAAGTCAAAAGTAAAACTTCCTGTCCTTGTCAATGTGATTCCGTTGTAATATTTTTTGAATTGTGACGGCGCGTCTGGATCTTCCACCGTTACATAGCCACCGTTTTCAACCTCAACTTGCACATCAATTCTATAGTGTAATTAATGTGAAATGTCATTTTACAAAAGTAAAAAAAAAATCCTATTTTTTTCTGCGCATTAATATTATTATTATTCATAAACATTAATATCTGTCTCTTATACACATCTAGATGTGTATAAGAGACAGAGTTGGCGATAGGCCTAGTAGTGTTTAACCACGTTTGCCTCTCCATACCTCTCCTCTTTCATTCTGTAAAAACAAAAATTAATCATTGTAGTTTAATTATTTTTTTTTAGTATAAGATCATAATAAACACACAGTCCAAACAATCCACAAGTTGCTATTAACATAATATTGTATAAGAAAAGTTCCATTAAGAAAGATTACAAAGTGCGTGACTCTTTGTATTTATAATAACAAATATTATCATCATTGGAAAAAGAACTGTAGTAATTATTTTATTTATTAAGTTTTTCAATGATTTAATCATTCTTGTACTGAAAATTTATTTTATTTTAATTTATATAGCAATACGATTTAGAAGATCACAACTAGCAAGATATACTAACAAAAAAATTTCAAATAAATTGCACAATAAAATAACTATGTAAGCAAGGAAAAAGCAAAAGTAGCTTCAAAGAACGTATTTCTAATGGTATCTTGCAAATTAAGCCATTCATTGCACTCAGGAAAAATGTTTATGCCCATCAAAAACGAAAAAAAAAAGTTTGCAATTTAGAAAAAAAAATACTTTACTAATCAAAATTGTACACAGTCAAAATATATGTCGATATGCTCCAGTATTATGGATAAGTATGAATAATGAGCAGTTCCAGTGTACCTATCTCGGTGTGCTATCGTCCATCCTGATAAGTTGATTCGACTTGAATCGGCACAGTGATACAAGGCTTGATTTGGAGAGTTTCTGGTGGCGCTGTCACTACAACCTATCCTTGCAACTTCTTTTGATGTTGTACCAGCTTGAATTAATATGTTATTTTCAAATTTAAATCTCAAATTCAAATTTATTTCACTTGTCTTAGCTACTAATTGACAAGTGGCGATTCCATAAATAAAGCAATTCTTGTTAAAATAATGGAACTCAGTAAATACTATAAAACTATTAATAATTATAAAATTAGTAATAATAATACAAGTTGGAGGACCGGTTATCAAATTAGCAAGAATGAGAATAAATATGAGATATATGGTTGAGTTTGAATGTGGTGAATGTGGAGCAGTTCCGTAGCGATCCAGGCAAGGAGTTCCAGTATTTAGGGCCAAAGATGAAGTGACTAAGTGGGACGAGATGCAAGATAATTGTTATTGGTACAGGTTTGACTGTCTAATGTAATAATTGTGGATATGACGATTGTTCTATAAATTTGCTTGCCAAGAACAGTGGGACTGCCACAGATTCAACAAGAAACATAGGAATAAAGAAGGTGTTAAAACACTTCTATTTTTATTAGATTTATTAGAACTAATACAATGGCACAGTGTCAGTTAAAAACATTTTTACACTACACGGAACAAGTTCAATGGGATAATTTTTAAGGTAAGATTAGGTTAGGTTCGAATAAAATATATTGTAAAGTGTGCACACCAGTATAATAAAATATACTGTAGCAAATAATAAATACTGTAACAACTGATGATACATTTATGCTGAGTTACTAGGCCAAGGGGTTCAAATATGAAGTTGAATGGCAAACGTATAAATCAGATTATTGAAAAGTAATATTGCCGACAATTAATTATATTTTTAGCCTACCATCATCATATATGATTGCTATGGTGATTCCTCTGATCATTCCAAGTTTAAAGTTGGTGATATATGGTGGAAACGTCACCGTTGGCTGTTTGTAGCTACTCCTCCAATCATTTTCCAAAAATGTTAAATTTGGTTGATTGGTGTAGGAGATTTCGCTTCCGTTTATACAAGTTAGCTCGATTGTACCCCCAGACTCATCATGGAGTTTAGCAAGACAATAATCGAAACTTGGTGCTTCACTCGCCTCCACTATAAAAACAAGTATTTATAATATTAATAGTAGTATTAGTTGAGGTGGTGGTAGTTGTGGTGATAGTGATGTAGAGTTGAATAGTAATATTAATGTGTTGCTTTATTTTTATAATGATAATAATACTGTATTGCATTTATAATGCGCCATCTATCTAGGTAAACCTATCCGAAAAACAACTTTCTTAACTGTAATTTAGATTTTCATTTGATTTTTATAAAGGTGAAAACAGATATAAATTATTTACATGTTGTACAGTCATATTCAGTAAAACCTGTTTCACAAACGCAACTATTTTCACCATCCGAGCAGCTGCCTGGATAACAAGTCGTACTGGTTGTTCGCCAGGAACAATTTTCTATGAACAGAAACAAGATTAAAAGTGTTCAAACAAAAATAGGATTTTTTTTTAAATAATTAACCTAGAGTATAAACAGTAATCACAATAATTGAGCCATGTGGTAAAGAATGTTAACTAGCTTTAATTTTTATGAATGAAAAAATATAGGAACTCTTGCAGGTATCGTTCGTTTTTCTATGTTTACCTTCACATACGGGTCCTTTATTCAAATAAGCTTGACCTATGTCAGAGCCGTAGTCACCTTCACATGACAAACACATTTGGTCAGTTGAAGAAGTACATTGTCTTTTAATACAATGTGGAATATTAGTACAGGCTGAAATATAAATATTTTGTATTCATTATTACTGATAAAATAACAACTTTCTGTTCGTATTATTATTATCTTTTCCTAGCAGTAGCAGGAAAAGCCATTGTTTTTGTTCTGATTATTGTTTTTCTTGCATATAGGTTTTCTTATCTTTTTGCACAGGGTTTCTCTGCCCGGCACTTCGGTCACTTTTTATGCTTGGATCTTTTCCAAACTTTGTTCAACTAACTAGACCATATTTGCCAAAGATGTGCCGCGTAAAAGGTAGTGACAATTAGGAGTGGGGTCTGGATGTGAGGACCAATTAAAACGATATAAAGGCACACTAAACGCCAGATATTTTAAAAACGGATAATCTGATGTGAATAAAACTTTCAGAAAATTTTAACCATGTTACAAGGAAGAAAATATTATGCTATGGTGACTGTCCAGTTTAGGGTGTAAATGTGAGGGTCATTTTAATTTCTGACGCCCCAGACCTAAATATCTCAAAAAAACGTATCTATATGGATCTAAATGAAACTTTCTACACTGTAAAAACAGAGTGGATGATTTAAACGTTGTTGTCCCGTCTTTGGTGACACATTTAAAAGCTAAACGTGTTTAGATATGTGCATACTGTGTCTAAATATGACATCATTCTACAAATGTTGAATATTATTAGCAATCATAGTTCATGTTGTATCTACTTTGAATCCATTGTTTTTAAAACCTGATTGATATTACTCCAGTATCCCTTTACACGCTTACAATGCAGAAACATTGCCTATGTATATAATCATCTGTTAAACCACATAACAGAAAATCTAATTTTGTATTGATATATAGTTTTTTGTTTGTTATTAGAATGGCATGCAAAAGTTTAAAATTTAGTTGTTTGAGTTTTATCTCATAAATTTCATATATTTTCTTTTTCCATATGTTTTGCCATTCAATACGATCCTATTCTAGCAGACTTTGCTAGTACACCATTCCTTTCGGAGGTATTAATTATAGTGACTTTACGGAATAAGAGTAAGCTTTCCTGTTTTCCAAGAATTCAAAATTATTTCTAGTTTTTTATTTTTTTATTTTGTCAATCCAGTTTTTTCTTTCACATGTTTTACTATCATGTCTAGGCCTATGTAAATTCCCAAAATTTTTAATGGATTGTGTTGACAATTTATTCCAGCAATTGTTTCTTTTCTATGTTTTCAAGATCCGATTAATATTCCTACCGATTTATTAACGTTAAGGCGGAGGCCCGATAATATTAATATTTTCCCTAATATTATTAGCAAGTATTTCTACAGCGACAACAAAAACGAGTTGAAAGTGGGCAGCTTTGTTTGATGCCACGATTTAACTAACTAGAGAAACAAAATGTTTGGATACTTTTATTAGATGTTTAAGCTTGGCATGTTTACATGAAAAGCATAATCTTCTTTAAGTAGGAGTATGTTCTTACGGTACCTATTGCAAGAATCAATGAGTATATTGTTATTAATAACTTTCCATAGGGAATCTGAATTACATAATTCATGTTGACATGATTCAGGTTTATATATATTAGGAAATTTCGATTATATGATTAAAACCACCACAATTAGATACATAGGTTTAGGCCTAGTTTCAAGTGTCTGCCATACACCGTCGCTAATCAATGTTTTACCTGAACTCATTTCATAAAATTTCATTCAAATTATTAAACTAACTGAATTTTATCCTGACTTTCATTTGATTGCCATTTTTTTGTTTGGTGTGATTTTTCAAAAGCTCTAGAAGCTCTTTTGTGCTTTTGTTTACCGTTGCCAAGCATATGGATAACGTTAACTATTGAGGGCGCATTTCATTTCCCTTGCATAAATACGGTTACTGTTTGCCTTTAAGCAAGGTAATATGAGAATCAAAGTATCCTGTATATATCTTATTTTCATCTTTATAAGAATATGGACGTCAAGGTAACCAACATTATTATTATTTATTTTATTTATTCTTTCTTTATACTGTAGGCACTTTCATTACTATTACATTGACTTTCAAAGTGGTACAGTTTAAACATAACAAAAAATATATACAATACAATATAAAGAATTCTTTAACAAAAGGTAAAAAAATTGTAAAACACACAAAAAAAAATAAAAACCAAGCAAGAGAAGAGTCAATGAAATACATATATGTAGTAATATTGTTTTGGAATGAATGTAACGACACATTTTGAAAGTTAATTTTTAATTCATTAGGAAGTTTATTCCATATTTGTGTTGCCCGGTAAAGAAAAGTCCGTTTTCCCTGACTATTATTATAGTTGGGATGACAAGATTGTAATTTGTTTGGCTATGTGTTCCTTTAGTGTGGGTACTATTGTTGAAGATAAAATTTGATGTCAGATATTGAGGAGCGTAACCTTTTAAACATTTGAAAATCATTCATCCCAACTAGCATTGAGTCTTCTCAAGCCAAGAGTACTTAAAATATAATTAACAGAGGTCTTAATATCTACAGAAAGCAACATTCTACCTAATCTATTCATAAGCACTTGTAAACAATTGGCGTATTGAATACTACAGTTAGACCAAACACAGCAACACTAATCAAAAAGAGAAAATACAAGAGCCTGAGCTAACATTTTTAGTGTATGGAATGGAAGAAAATATTTAATGCGTCGGATAACACCAATATGTTTTGAAACATTTGATGACACTTTGTTTATATGGTCATTCCAATTTAACTGCGGATCAAATGTAACCCCAAGGTATTTAAAAGAATCAACTCGCTAAATAGTGTTACCATTGTAGGATACAGAAATTTCTTTATATGTAGAAAGAATCTGGGTTGTCCCAAGTATCATTAGTTTTGTATTTTTAATGTTTAAATTTAGCTTATTATTATTAAACCAAGTTGCAATTATATTTAAATAAGAATCTAATATATTAGAGAGTGAGCGGGTCAGAAGAATTACAAAGACTAGTGGTGTCATCCGCATACATTACACATTTACATACAAGGCATTACATCATATTGGACTTACAATATGAGATTGGACTTGACACTATAAACATTTGGTCAGCCCTTGCCCATATTGAACATGAAAATCTGGATTTGAGATCACCTCTTTGGCAACTTTATGGCTCCAGTTATTCATCACGATATTTAATAAAGCACTTATTAAGTCAACATCATCACATAACTTTAAGTTTTGTGATTACTGTATCATTATCTCGTGGAAAATAACCTTATATATCAATTTCAATCAGGCTTTCGGCAATGTCATTCAACTGTAGTACCTTAATTTATCTTTCAGATACAATTAATTTAATAAATTAAAGGCATACATACAGGCATGGTCCTTAGAAATCTGTGTAAACCATTTTACACAGTCGACCACGATATATTGTGTGAAAATCTTTCTTTAATATGTATCAACTCATTAAATTGGCTTCCTTGGCTTACAAAGAGAAGCCAAATTGTAAAAATCGAAGACTCGATAACTGAGCCCATGGACAGAAGTTGTGGTGTACCCCGAGGTAGCGTATTAGATCCTTTACTGTTTTTGTGCGTTATAAACGATATGGTGGTTAGCATTGACCCTGATTTTAAATTGTTTTTACACGCCGGTGACAGTGCCATTGCTTTTTTTCTCACAAATATTCAACTATCAGTTGCCAACAAACTTTGTAACGCTCTTGATAAATGTAGAGACTGGATTATTGACAACAAACTGTCCATTAACCTCTCAGAAAAATGGAGTCAATTATTTTTGGTAGCAAAAAAAAATATACAATCCTTCAAAATTACCTCTAGAGGCCTTGACTTAAATGGTTCTAAGTCTGTCAGACATTTACGTATCGAACTTGATACTTCTGTCTCTGTAATTGTATTGCTAAGAGTAGGCATATTATTTAAAAAAGCGAATGCTAGACTAAGGTATCTCTATCGTCAGGCAGGTTGTTTGGACAAACTTACCAAACAATTATTATGTACTGCCTTAATTCAATGTTTGTTTGACTATTGTGCAACATCATGATTTGAAGGTATAACAAAAATGTTTTAAAAAGCTCTAAATCACACAAAACTAACGAACGAGTAAATTTTGTCTTACCTATACTAAAAGGAAATAAGCAGTCTCATTTTACACTCTTCTACTCTGCAATTAAACACTGGAATGCTCTTCCAACCCATTTAAAATTAATCAAGAATATTACAACATTTAAGTCACACATTAAAACATATTTTGAATAGAGTAGTACTTAATTGTAATTTTTCTATTATTTTTTCATTCTACTAGATAAATATTTATAAGAAGCCATAGAGGTTAGGACGTTTCGTAAATATGAACAATTTGCTACACTGGTCCAACCATTGATGGATGTTATGGGACTATCTACCCATTGGTCAGCAGTATCTACCATCCGCAAAGCAACGGTGCGGTAGAGAGGTTCAATAGAGAGAGGGAATTAAACAAAGTATCAGAATATTCTTAATGGTGTATCGTAGCACACCCCATGCTACAACAAACCAGGAACCTTCCTTTCTAATCTATATAATTTATCTGAATTGCTTTCATGTCGGATTAAAAATTAGGAAATGGGGTGGGGGGGAGAAGGAAGGGGAAGGTAGAAGTACGTTGAAGTACATTGGAAGAAGAGAAAATCTGTTGATTTTACCGTTCTTTAGGCTTATGTAAACTAACGTTTTGTAGACTAGGTTTCTAAATAATAATAATAATAATAATAATAACTTCATTTAATAAAGCGCAAAACAATATCCATTAAAAATGTTCATCGGCGCTGTACAGAATTTAAAAATATTCATAGACCAACATACACTTTAAACATACATAAGAAATATACATTAAATGCTAATAGAAATATTTGAAACCAATAATCATCACAAAATCACAATACCATTTAACACATCAAAAATCTACACTGAAATAAAAGAAAACGCGACATTAAATAGAACGATAAAACACTGAATTAACTTGATGTGCTTCTCTGTTTTAGTTTGTTAGTCTGCAGGTAGACTACGGAGCTTTTTGTTCTATTGTCTTTTTTTTTTGTTCCTTTGTTATATTGTTGATTATAAGGATGCACCGTTTAAATGTGTGCGACCGATCTGAAGGTGTATATATCCAAATAAATAAATAATGCATGGACGGCGTATGAGAAAGGAGTTAGATATTAAGTGGTTAACCAAAGATCCTAAAACAGTATATCCAACTAAGGTAAAAGAAAATGTTGAAATTAATCAACAGAAAAAAAATAGGTACTTTGACAAGAGAAAGGCAGTTAAGGTACAGAATATACAACTAGGTACTTGGGATCGAGTAAAAAACCAGATCATGTAAGGGGTTAAGTAAATTCATGGGACCCTTTAAAAGTTGTATTTAAAGTAGGACCAGGAACATATAGATTGAGTAAGGGAAGTAGTACAACGTTTAACCTTAAGTTTTGGTAACGATAATAGTAACCCCGGATTAAAGGATCCACTACAACCTGTATCCTCCAAAGTCAATCCAAAGTTTTAGAAACCTAATAATAGTGTTTAATGGTTAAAAGGACAACATTTACAAGGGGGGGGGGGAGATTGTGGTGTTCTTAATACGATGTTTATGATAGAAGTTATCTGAAGTTGGAGGTTAGGGAGGCAGACGAAGGAGAACGGAATGGATGAATAAAGATAGAGTTGTTGTTATGAAAGTGTTGATTCCATTCCGTTATCTACGTCCAATGTCGCGACATGACAGTGCTGTTGTTAACTTTTGTAATATTTTTATTGTTCTTGAAGAAACTTCTTAAGCTTTTTTTTTATAATTTTAATTATGTGCAATTCAATATTTGTATTTTTGATGTCGGCATTATATGTATATTGTATTTTTATTTGAAATATTAATGATTTTAAATGTAACTTTTTAATGTTCAATCTTAGACCCCATTGGAAATGGCCTGGACTCCGTCCTATTGGGCGTTCCTGATGCTCTTTAATTTTTACTTATTTTGTTTTCAAATCATTTTTATATTGTTTGTGAATGTTGAGCATCGAATTAATTCAATCAATCAATCAACTGTTAAATATTTATATTTTCTATATTATTGCATTTTGATGTCATTAATGTAATTGAGTCTAGTAATTTTCAATGTGATTTTTCTTTATATGTAGTTTAGTATTTTCTCCTTCTTGTTGCAATTTTATATATAATATTTTTAATATTCTTATATTTTTGTAAATACATTCATTTCAGCCTCTGGCTGCCGTTTTCATATATTTTGTTATAACTAAATGAATAAATAAATAACTTTAGAGTTTAAAATAGAGTACATTATACCTCTTATTACTTGTAAATTTTTATATTTTCTAAAGTGACTGTTTTGTATGTTTTTATATTTGTTTTACATTTTTTATTATAATATGTGATGATGAGCTGAAGAATTTCCCTTGTGGAACAATAAAGTTATCTTATCTTATCTTATCTTACATCAAAGATTGACTGCAGCAGTTTTGTTTATAAGCTTATTTACATAAAATGAAAACAGATCAGCTTCAACTTAAAACCAAAAGTTGTTTTCTTTCCAAATGCCCGTGTGATAGTGAGTCTTCAACGTATCAGTTCAAGGGCCTCGGGTGGTACAGCAAGCTCGTTAAGTCTGACGCTGTGTGTTTTAAACTCCGGGGGTGTAGGCTACTTTCCTATCATTTGACCTGATTTCTACCACTCCTGAATATACTCTTTATTTTTGTAGTCTTTAATTTAACAATATCATTCAATAACTCTCAAAGTTTGCTTTGGCTCTATAAGGTCAGCTAGAAGTCATGATTGTCGCTCTTTTAAAGCCTTTTATTTCATGTGGAAGTGTACAACGGATTTTCTTTTCATTTTTTTTTTTTTTAAATGAAATAAGACTACTTACCACTACATTGCCTTAAGGATGCCAAGTAGTACTCTTCTTCACACATTTCGCACCAACAGTTATGAGGTGAAATAGTAAATTTCAGAGACAGACAATATGTAACTTTGCATGCTGCCCCAAACAAATAAAACATCTAGTAAATTACATTTTGAAATAACCAATAACAAACACGAAATCTAAGTGTTATACATGTAGTAGCGAAGTCAGTGCATGCACTACAGCGCCTCAGTTGATGATACGATTTGTCTTTAAACGACAACTATCAGAAGTAGTATTAAATGTTATAATTGTTATAATTAACTTTATTTGTTTTGATATTGTCTACAACCACAACACGACTCAAAATACACTTAACATACGCACTGTGAATTTAATCGAAATGGAATTACGGTTACCTCCTACTTTACACACGTACGGCCGAGAGACGTCACATTCCGCGTCATTCCAATACCCAGTAGACTGTTTTTCTATACAGTCTTCAGTTTTTCTTCGACTATCCCCGTCATTTGGCTCACCAGACTTGAATTTCCTTGAAATAAATATAATTCAACAATGTAGTTATCATGCCAGCGTTTGTTGATCAGGTCAAATGCATGAGGATTCACGCAACTGACAGTTCAATCCTGCGAAGCTGATGAAAACATATATATATATATATAATATATACATATATATAATATTTTGTCTTGATCAAATACTGCCTTCCTTAAATCCAAAACAAAATTTTGCGGACCTTAACTTTTAAGTTATTTACCTCCATGCACTTGTAGGACCAAAATGCTGCAGGCTCAACTATTAATCTAGATTTTAGGTCTCGCCACTTTAGTCATAGGCCTAGTATTGTTTTGTATTTTCTAGTTTTGCTATTGTGGCAATGAATAAACATTGATAAATTAATTGATTGATTTAAATTTCTTGTTTAATGCAAAACCATTCTACTAAAAGCCATAAAAACGAAATGAATGCTCTGAACGCGGTTCCAAATATTTGACTGACTTTGAGGATTGTTGAGCTAAGTACTTAACACACCGTATTTGCGTTTTGAGTGAATACTCAATCATGCTCGTAGGTTGAAGAATTACAATAATTTTAATTAAATTACCGCAATAAGACTAAGTGAATAAGATCGTGGTAGGGGATTTTGAATTTAGCTAACCTACACGGAACAAGCATAGTAAGTACTTGGAAGAGCAATGGTTTTCCAAAGTTTGTCGTCATAATCAATTCTATTAAAGTTATCAAATGATTAAAATTTAGCTTCCATGTTTTCGCAAATGTAGAAGCTAAATTAAGCATTTCATTCAATTTACTTTCATAATTTGCCAACAAACAATATTATCTACCCAGAAAAGGCTTCCCATGCATACCTTGTGTATACGAACACCTAAATCATATTTTTTAAGCAATATGGTGAATTCACTCATAAGAATACACAACCCTGCTTGACTTCCTCATTAATATCAAAATAGTCAGTCTCAATATCCCCAAATATAACTTTTCCTTGTACATCATATGTAATAGAGTTAACAAATAACAAAGAGAATAATTTAAGAGTAATTGGGGCTCGCCCTGCAAGTTACGCACCTTCAGACACAACCATACATTTAGATTTCGACTCATTAAACGGGATATCATAATCACTGGCAAATGCATCCCAAATGTCAATAAGACTAGTCCTGATGCTGAAGGAACCATAAGTACCAAATCATCAGCGTAGCAACAATTGATTTTAGTACCATTTAATTCACATCCGAATTTTGAATTATTTAAAAGTAAAAAGCGGATTAGTGTACACATTTTATAGTAATGGAGACTAATAATAATAATAATAATAATAATAATAATAATAATAATAATAATAATAATAATAATAATAATAATAGTGTAGTTTTATATAGCGCACATATCCATCTTATGTAAGATGCTCAGGGTGCTTGATATGTGGACTAGGAACTCGATCAATGACTTTCTTCACCCCTAAGGGTCCCTTCGTGTCTGTGATACCCGTAACCCGGTACCGGCAAATCTCGTCGTCCACCATAGGACTCCACACATGACTCCCCATTGACGCCCTCCGTTTCTAACAGAGAACGGATCAGATATGCAACTACCCAACCTCACAACAAACTCCTGCGACCGACACCATGATTGAAGGACTCGAATAACAGGATTATGGGTACCTATTTCAACCAACGTCTTAAACAGCGTCCAGTGGTTGACTTTATCGAACGCTTTGCTCGCGTCTAAGAAACAACAGTAAACAGAATTACCGAATTATTATTGTAATATAAAATTATTTGTTTTAGCACGAATATGCATAGGTCTGTATTAAACTTACGCGTAATTATAAGGTGTTCCATCGCTGTATCTATAGGATCCTGACTGATACAGGCCAATCCATGAATGGGAACCTGCTGCACTTTGAACCGCATTCTGAATATAATTTTGAAAGAATTTATAAAAATTTTATTTTAACGATAATACAAGATTATGCACGAATGAAAAATAGAAATTAATAATTCATAATTTATTTTCCTCACACGAGATGATAGCTAACAACGGAAATCTTCCCTGTACTGTACATGTGTCAGCCACCATAGCATACACTGTTAAACAAGATGCAAAAACATTGTATAAAAGCATAATAATACATAATAATACAATAATAATAATAAGCAACAATAATAACAACAATAACATCATAATAAAAAATAGTAGATAAATAGTACTAATCCAGTAATAATAATAATAATAATGACAATAATAATAATAATAATAATAATAATAATAATATCATTCATAATAATAATAATCACAGTAAGATACATATAAGATAGTTAATACGATGTGAAGTATGGTGCCACGTTATGTTCCACATAAATAATCGGATATAGATTTGTAACACAGGATAAATCGATGTCAGTCGTTGACTCTTGGAACATAAAACATTATTAAACAAATATTTCAAAGGCGCCTGC